CCCCCCCCCCCCCCCCCCCCGGCCGTGCCCTCCACCCGATATCCACTGTATTCGGGAGAAAACCAACCGAACGGGTACAACAAAACGCTTCGTGCCCCAATTCCGAGACACCGAGCAGCCCCCTATCTCACAAATCGCAGCAACCTCACTCAATTCACCACCACCACTACCAATTCACTGCAACGTAAAGATGGGCATTTCAGCAGCCTTTGCAGCCGATTCGGAATGGCCATTGTGGGACGATGAGCCTCTCGATGGTGCTTTCGAGATCGACTTGCCTGGAGGGGTCATTGACCAAGGGGTTGTTTCTAGTGTTACACGGCCATGGCTATTCGGATACAAGCCCAAGATGTCCAACGGGCGCGCCATCCTCATCCTCGGTGGTGGTGGCTATGTTGAGCTGATGGCTGGCAAAGAGGGAGTCGTGATCGCCCGTTGGCTTGCGTCACTCGGTTTCGAGGCTTTCGTGCTTGTTCATCGCTTTCCTACGGCTGCCACAGGACCTCAAGCTCCAATCGATGACGCAAGACAGGCGTTGCGATTGATTAGCGATCGGGCCGATGTGCCAAAAGGATTGGCAGTCTGTGGTTTATCATCTGGCGGTCATCTTGGCTCGGCGCTGCTCGCCGAGTACCCGGCTTCTTGGGTCTCTACCGCAGGAGCGCCAGTGCCGAAGCTGGACTTTGCTATCATTGGGTATGGACCAATTTCTACAAACGCAGTTGGACACACTATCATCCCAAATAAGGCCCCTCTTGAACCTCCCGCAAAACAGGCGCTCTACGACACTGTCATCCCGGATCAGCAATTATCGAATTTGGCACCGCCAACCTTCATTGTCTACTCTAACAACGATCCCGTCGTTCCTGTGGTCAACGCCTACCGTCTGGCGCAATCCATACAGGCGGCTGGAGGCCCCGTTGAGCTTCACGTCTTTGCCGACGCGCCACACGGATTCGCGCTGGATACTGGATCTGAAGTACCCGTCTCAAAATGGCCCTCTTTGTGCGAGGCATGGTTGAGACAGTTGGGTGTTGTGGAGTAAATGAAGTTGACTCTTCCGTCGTACGAGATAGTACACTCACAGTCACGTACGGAATCAGGTTCTACAGCACGGCAAGTTTGTCTTGTCTTCAGATAAATTGTGCTTTCTGAATATAGGTCAATCAAAATCAATCTTAATCCATCCGAAAGTCTGTCATCATGCGTCATATTATAGACCAAGCGCCTTCGTAATAGCAGGCAAAATAGTCCCCTGGTTCCAATTCCAAATCAAGGCACTGTTGTGTCCGGCAAACGCCGCCCCGGTGAAATATGTGTTCCCGGAACCTTGCAAATCCACCAGCTTCCGGTAGAAACCGTCCTTGATGTCTTCGGCTTTGCAGCGTACGTTGTAAGGCGTGTGGTTGGAGGTGTACGGGAATGTGACGCTCGATGCTGCATCTGCTGGGACAACACCCGCGGCCGCAAGGGTAGCAAGATTCTTGCGGACAAGGTTCTTGCCGTCCTCATCTGTCACGTCGCCGGTATCAAATCCTCCTCCAATGAGGAATTCGTCGGGGGAGCCCGTGGAGCTGAAGCCATTGTTGCCAGGGATAATGGGCTGGTTGAAGGGAGTCAGAGCACCGATGTTGGTGAAGCTGCCGTTGAACCCAGGGACACTCGCTACGCCGGCGAAGTAACCCAAAGAAGAAAACTTGGAGAAGATTTCCTTCTCCTGAATGGAGAGGTCGAAGGCTATCATATTCTTCAAAGTTGGTGGGATAGCCAATAACAGCTTCTGGGCAATGATTGTCTTGGGGCTTTTGCCAGACTCAGCTACTACCAAAGTAACACCAGTCGCGTTAGAGTGACGGTCAACGTTGAGTATAGTAGTGCTTAAGAGCACACTGGAACCGAGCTCATTGAGAGCAGAGTCGTATAGACTCCTGGTGTCGCCCGTGCCGGACAGGATGAACTCGCCGAAGAGGCTGCTCAGCAGACCAGGCCCGAGGCCCTTGATACCATAAAGTGCCGGAAGGGTTGTGAGGTTCCCCGTATACCAATTGAATTGTGCAATGACTGGTAGGAGAGCCGAAAAGTTGTACTTTGCTGCGAACTGACCAAAGGGCTCATATAATTCTGCTGGGACAGGGTCAGGGACTAGGAATCCCTGGTCGATCCATCCATACTTGCTGAGCACATTCTGAGTGTAAGCCTGAGCGGCGGCTTGAAGGACTTGCTGCTGTGCAGCTGCGGCGGAAGCGCTTTGGGCTGGAATGGGAAATCCTAAAGCAAAGTCGAACTGCCGTGATGCACTTGTTGTGGCCAATACATTGGACGTCGTAATTGGGACCTTGAGGCGATTGAAGTATCGCTTCACTAGATCTGTATTCTCGAAGAGAACGACACCGACGTTGCTGACAATGCCGGTTTCATTATTTTTGTACGTTTCAGCGTGGCCTCCGATTTGGTTTTTCTTTTCGATCACCAAGACCTTTGCACCAGCATCCTTCAGTTGTATGGCGGCGTGAATGCCCCCAGAGCCGCCGCCAATGATTGCCACGTCAACATAGACGGCTTTGGCCTTGCAGCCGAGATCAGGGCGACCATTGTGGCCACCGATGGCTTTGCTGGGGTTTGCAGATACGCTCCCGAGCCACAGGGGCCAGGCGATGATTGGCGACAATCTCATGTTGTACGAACTGCAGAAAGTTATGATCAAAAGGCTCTGCCTGGCTGAGCAGCAGCGCAACCCTCACACTAGCAACAGTCGGGCCTCAGTATTTATAATGCGGCATTATGGACGACAAAGACTCCTTAACAGTCTTGGCTTATAACATGCCAGCACGTCATAGTCATTCTCGCTGCGTCATGCCAAAAGGATTACTGCGCCTGAGGGCTGTACGCATGAGTTCCTAATCAGAAATGAAAATACCGGTTTCTCGGGGCAGCATCAGTCATCCGAGAGCTCCGAAAGAGGGTACACGTGCGAATTAAACCTGATAGCTACGACCAGGAGGGCCATAGGATCGAGTCATGGGGCAAGACAAAACAGCTAGAGATGGTGCCTAAATGCTGGGATTTCTCATTTAAGACACGTTAAAGTTCAGCCTATTGAACTCATCGAACGTGTGTCTCTGTATGCGGCTTCGGAAGCACGGCCGGTAAATGAGTTGCCACGCGTCGGGGGCTATGTTCAGGGGAGGGATTCCTTTAATTGGCCCAGCTTCACTTGAATGCAACAACAGAACTTCGGGATACCGGCTACACAATGCCACCTCGCAATGTTCCAGGCGTACGCAATGCAATTTGTAGGTCGAGTCTCACAACCAGACCGAGCAAATCCCAGGAGCTCACAGTTTTGCTGCATGGAGCGAACGCTGTTACATTTGACATACCACTGCTTAGGTACGTCAAGAACTCTGCCTGCCCCGTACTGACATGATGATCTAACCTCGGGATAGAAATGGGGCATTATCTTCAGAAAGATCGACCGTGCTCCATGACCGTGTTTTGGCTCTCCACAACGATATAGTCTACCCCTATGATCATTCGGATTGATTCTGGGTCAATAAAGTTTGCCTCGTCAGGCTGAATCTTGTTGAGGTACTCTGGATCGCTTCCCATCGATTGGAAAGTCTCCAGGTTGTGTACCCAGAATTCTGCAGCGCCGTCGAACTCGAGAATGGGCGGTGCGTTCTCAACACGGCCGAAGTCACGGAATTCGGGCGTCGAGTGGTACTATGAACATACCCTACTGCGTTAGGCATTGTATTGAAGAATTCAAGAGTCTGGACACCCATACCTGGGAATACCTCACCACACCCAGGCGAAGATGAAAGGGTGTCGCCAGTTCGGCGTGTAGAAGAGTTTTATGTGGAACATTCGCTCCATACCCATAGTGCAAGCAGCTTTGTATGTCAAGCAACAGCACTGATCCGGAGCGCCGGGCATGGCCGGGACGGTGGTATTCGCATGGGGTGCACACTTGCCATAGGTGGCACTTACAAGTGAAGCAACGGACAGAGCGGCGGCAAACTTCATTGTGATGTTGCAATATGAAGAGTCTCCGTACGAGCAGTGAATGGAAATAGGCTAGTGGCATACTACGTCCGAGAGATGGTGTTATATACGTCGTTTCTTCTTTGACTCTTGTTAACCTGACATTACACACGTCTAAAAAAAGATTCCGTGACGACTTGGGCGGCGTCCACGCCTGTCAGCATGCGCTGATGAATTCGCGTATCCTCGTCCAATTCGATCACAGGTGAGGCGCGAGGCGCGAGGCGCGAGGCGCAATAAGCGATGGTTACTGCAGCGTCAATCAACGTAAGCTGACACTCACAGCTGTGCAGACCGAATACTCCTGAGATTCATGTAGAGTACTTTTAGTCGTCTGCCGGGAGGGGGGGGCTTTGGGTGTTTGCTTTGTCTGTCATTCGCTCCAGGTGAAAGCATTCCTACTCGATCCAAGCCACAGGTGATACTATTGCTCAAGCCCCAGCGTCGTGGATTCGCGGCGGAAGCCAAAAGGCAGGAGGCTGAGGATGCTGCAACCAAGAGCGTCTCGTTCATTTTCTTTACACAAAATACTGTCAGCTCGGGCATGCATCTCGCAACTGCTTTGAATTTCCTCTGGAAATCTACTGTACATTTTAGCCAAACTTAGAGCACTAGCTTTGAGTGAGAAACCCGGCAGACGGCGGTTGCCCCTGCGAGTACGCGTATCGAAAGGTCAAAGATGTGAATCCACTGGGGCGCAGCGCCAGTCAGTGGCCATTCGTGGCCACCCACATGTGGTTGATGGCTGCAATTCGGTACGGGCCAGAAGCCGAAGCTTAAGTAGATAGCTGTCAGAGCGTTGTTTAGAGCAGAGTGAAGAGGTCTTCCGCACGTGGTCCGCAGCAAATAGAACGTAGGTAGGGGGTCGGAATACATCTGAATTCTGGCCCTCCGCAGCTTGGGGGGCCCTCCGCAGCCTATATATACGTTCTCTCGTGCCCCTTAGCCCCTAGCCAGCCCCTTAGCTTGGCAGGCCCTTGGTGGCTCCGCAGGGGTCCTGACAATAGCGCTGCCATCCGTTCATCACGCAATCTTTGAGGTCCAGCGCCGAGCCAGCAAACCCAGACCTTGATGGGTGTCAGGTTGGTTTGGGCTTTGTAACGGAATTACGATAGAACTCCGATGGAAAGTTAAGAGGAAGTAAAGGCGGAGGTCTCGTTTTCATTTCAGCTTTCGGCTTGTTCGGGTGCCTGCTAAAACAATTAGGGTCTAATATGCTGCCTTGATCAAAGTATGGTACCTAACCTTAACTCCGAGAGCATGGGCGCAGTGGAGCTCAGAGCCGTCTAATAAGCCGTCTCTATGCGCTTTCCGGGACCCATCTGGAGACTTATGACAACAGTCAGCCATACCACAGCTGCACCATCGAACACATTTGCTTTGGCACCATCGGATACATTTGCTGTAATGCAAGCTGGGTCATATTCAGGAATTTGCTTGACAAGATCTGTAGGGGGCAGCCCTGAAATTGGGACCCCCCGCAGAGCATTGTCAAATTACATGGCGTCAACCCAGGACATCAACCCTGATTAGGTCTAGCTTTTCATTAGCCACGATGATTCATTCTGAGGCAGCACAGATGTGCCAATGAGAGTACTTGCTTCAAGACGCCACTTCTTGGCATCTGCGAGTCTCACATTTTCATGGTCCTGAATGCGATGAATTGGGGCTTCACGGTGCTCTGTGCCTCAAAGGTGTTCGATTCGAGATGAAGTCAAAACATATATATTTATTATCAGTCAAAGCATGCTTTGAGTCAGGTCTTTTCTACGATACTAGATCATACGAACATTGCCGCCTTCACCTGCTTTCCCAACCCCCAAACAGCTCTTAGCTTCACAACACCACAGTAAATCTCACCAGCCTAGATTATCATCGATATGATAGGCGGAACAACCACCGGAAGCGGGTCCAGCACCCCAGACAAGCTTTCAGAACTCATCGGAACACCTAGGGCGGACCCCGTTTTCGATCACGATATATGCTTATTATGCAACAAGCTCTCCGAATCATTTGATGACAACATGAAGCACATGCAAAAGGTACACGGGCTTTTCATCCCAGATAAGAAGCGCCTCATTGTGGATCTTGAAACTCTCTTCTCCTATCTCCACCTCATCATCGTCAGACACAACGAATGCATCTGCTGTGGAACGCAGCGGGCTAGCACGCTCGCAGTACAGCAACGTCAGTTAACCTCGAGCCTCAGGCGTCATGAAAGTGAAACTGACAAATCTACAGACATGCTTGGAAAAGGCCACTGCAAGTTCGATATTGCCAGCGACGACTCGGAGTTTGCAGACTTCTATGACTTCTCCGGCTCAGAGGCGGGGAGCGGAGTAGACGAAGACGCAGACGACAGTGCACTCCCGAGGAAAGATAGAGTCGAGAATCGCACAGTGCAGCCTGCCGAAAATTCGCTCCGATTGCCCTCAGGTAGAGTCATCTCTCACCGATCTCAAATACAAATAAATCCCCGACGACAACTTCTGAAGCCACGATCGCCTGGCAGGTCAGATCTGATAAAGGATGGACCAGCAAGCGACATCAACAGCTCAGCACCTACGACTTCATTATCAACGTCATTAGTCAGTCGTTTCGGCAAGGATGCCCTTACGCAGACGAGAGCTGATAAGAAGGAGTACAAGTTCGCGAAACAGCTGGCTTCGCTCAACAAGAACGACGAGAGGAGTCTTGCTCACTTGTCATTGCCACAACAGCGGGCAATTCTGGCTACTCACCAGAAGCAGATTGAGATGGCACACCGAGCAGAAGAAAGATATCGGGGGCGACTGGAAAGTCTTGGAAACCAATTTTTGATGACGCATTTCGTCAAAGATGCCGCTGATAAGAGGACCTTGTGGAAGTGAGCATGTCAGCGTATCAGGAGTGGCGGTCGAGATGTGATCTGTACTATTTTGAACCTCTAGCAAGCGTTGAATGAGATGGTCTGTCCTGGATTGCATGCTAAGATTAAATGGATGCGTCCAGTTGTGTCCAGTGAGCTCAAACACAGCTCTGAGCATCCTCGACTTCTAAGTCAGCGGCACCACCTTGCTTCCTCTCAGCCTGTTCCAGTCGTAGCTCCATGCCATTGGAATAAGCATGCGAAGGGTTCATGGTTGGAACAAAGTATGGCGCTTCCGTGAACAGATAGCGCATCTCTTCAAGAGGACGACGAGCGGTTTCGGGGAGCACACACCAGAAGTATATGGCGTTGGTAGCGTTGCACACCTTTGAACGTTAGCCGTTGCCTCAGTGTAGCTTCATGACCAGGAAGGACCCACGATGAATAGAATATACCATCTCCATCCGATGCCGGTATTATCGTCCAGGGCCACTGACGTCGTCTGTGCAATCATTGCGTTGAATGCAAGATTGACGGCTGTCGCAATACTGACACCTTTGGCCCTGGTCTTCATGTCGAATATCTCTGCAGGAATAATCCATGACAAGGGACCACACGTGGCGCTGAAGGAGAAATTATAAATCCAAGTCATGACGATGAATGCCCAGCTCGCTGCCTTATTTCCGCCGCTCTCATCAGGTGGGAAAGACGCCAGGAGGGCGGTGGAAATGATAAAAGTAACGCAGTTGCCAATATTGCCCAAGATGAGGGGCCAGCGACGGCCAAGCCGATCTACCAAAGCCATACAGAGACCCTGCGCGCACAGAGCCAAGATGTTGGAGATGGCTTGGTACATGAGGGTGTTGTTTGTCGAGATGCCCATCTTGCTGTAGATAGCCACGCTGTAATATTGTATAGCTGCCACGCCAGTCATCTGAATAGAGGCCTGGACCGAACAGGCAATCCAGAGACGTCGCAGGCAAGACTTATCGCGGAAAAGTTCCATGTAGGACTTTGCCTGAACCTCGTGTTCGACGCTAATGGATTCCTGAATCTGAGCAAACTCGGCTTGGACCCAGGCATCGTTGACATTTCCATTGGAGTGGAGCTTGGCGAGAGTCTTGAGGCCGTCCTCTGCCTTTCCGTGATCAATAAGCCATCGGGGTGACTCTGGGAAAAGCATGATCAAGAGGGCGAGGACGCCAGCTGGGATGTTTTGCAATCCGAGGGATATCCTCCACTGGTTCTCGTTATCATCAGAGACGCCGACAGTCATGGCGTAGGAGAACCAGGCGGCGAAGAGCGCGCCGACGCCCAACATGAATTGTTGAAGCGCAGTGACAGTACCTCTAATACTTGGATGTGCAAGTTCGGCCTGATAAACGGGAATGACTGAAAACGAGTCAGCAAGACCCGGACAAGACCATTAAAACACGGAACATACTCATAACCATGGCTCCAATTCCAAGGCCACCGATCCCACGGCCGGCCATCATATACGCAGTGTTCTTCGCCAATGTCTGCAACAGACCCCCGATTATGAAGACGACGGCACCAACGAGGATGCAAAGCTTACGACCAAGTCTGTCGGCCATCGGGGCAGCAGCCAGAGCACCAAAGAAGGCGCCGCCCGTGAAGATAGACACGATGCCTCCGATTTCGGCAGGGTTGTCGCCGACGCGGTCCAGGAAGGATGGAGCGGCGATGACTTGGGCGATGACACCGAGATCGTAGCCATATGTCAACGAGCCAAGCGAGGCGAACACGCCGACGAGCCACTGATATACTTTAGGGGGGAGGGCCATGGCGATTCTTGAAGTGATGATGTATCTATCGGACAGCAGCAACTGAAAAACTTCGGATCGAACAGTGCGGCCGTGTGGCTTTATCTATGATCGGTCCGCACAGAAACCTAAGCATATGAATGCTACCAGCACCGCATGCCAAGTTTCCAGTGTCGCTGGAAATCCCGCCTGTATCTCGGAAGGGTGGAGTGGGATCTGCGGGCCTGAGAGTCACTAGCCGGCGGGGCAATCCTTCGGGGGCTGCGTGGCCCACTGCGACGACAGTCGTGCTGGCTCCGGTCATGAACTCCGATCCTTAGAATGATGGCCCAAGCAGGCAGTGCGTTCAGTGTAGGTCAACGAGAATGGTCACAAGTTGTGAATGGAACTCCCCACGTGTTGATGATGGACATCGTCGGCTGCCGCAGGCACTTAGGTACGTAAGCAGATACATGGGCTCAGATGAGTTCCGTCTTGTCTTCGCCGATGCCGTGCTTCATTTGAGCGCATCGGTAAGACCACAAAACAACAGCAAAGCAGCAAGTCCCAGAGCAAGGCATGACAGATGCCAAGGGAAAGGGCTTACTTCAATCAGGTACTTCCGCACTGAAGCAAGCCACCAAGCTGTCGACAGTATCTTCGCCGTCATCCCATCATGGCCGTGTCAAGTGCTGGCGAAGTAGGCACGCGGAGGTCGAATTCGGCGCTGCCGCGAAGCGCGCCAATCGGAACATCGGGGCATTGATACCCAGGCTAGGTAGCCTGACATCAATTCCCATCAATTCAACCGCATTGCCGGATTCCTAAACCCTGACTCGCGGGTGGATTAAGGATCAGGGCAAAGACAGCAGACAGCATGGCGGGTCAGGTTATCTATGCCAGTGGGATGAAAATGGCTGGGATGTCTTGGTCAATATCGCGAACCTGAGGTCACTGGCACGGCTTCAACAGGGCAAACTCAACGAGCCCACACATTCCCCGCCAACTCGGGCCATTGTCGACCGCGCCCCGGGACGCCATGCAGAATTTGGGGCGCATGTCCCCGCCGTCGACCCCGCCGACTGGGCACTGGCTCGTTGCCCCCTTCTCCGCATCTTGAGTACACGCGCCTCCGCTCCGGCAAACGTTCCTATCATCGGCGCGGGTCCTGTCTGGCACAGGGCTGATAAAACACGTTGGTTCCTAACACCTAGGTCTCAACAACTGATCTCTCTCTGGTCTTCTTTCTCATAAATCTACTTCTTACTGTTACTCCAACCATGGCCACCTTTACGAAACTCACAGACGAGCAGCAGCCCGTCATCTCGGTCAATCCTAACCACAAGATTGCCAAGATTGAAGACAATACCTATGGCGGCTTCACTGAGTGAGTTTCCGCTTCGCGCACGTCACACCAGTAGTAGGCCCTGTGACTGATTCTCGAACCAGGCACATGGGCCGGTGCATCTATGGTGGCCTCTATGACCCAGGCAGCCCCCTGTCTGACGAGAATGGCTACCGCAAGGACGTGATCGAGGCCTTCCAGGAGCTCAAGTGCCCCGTTGTGCGCTATCCCGGCGGCAACTTCATCGCGACCTACCACTGGCAGGATGGCGTTGGCCCTCGCGAGAAGCGGCCCAAGAAGTGAGTGACGAGACCGAAGCAGAGATTTTGAGAGTCCAGAGATTGACGCAACGAAGGCAAGAGCTGGCGTGGCACGGTATCGAGACAAATGAATTTGGAACGGATGAATTCCTGCGATGGTGCGAGGTCGTCGGCACCGAGCCATACCTGGCGCTCAACTTTGGCACGGGCACGCTTGACGAGGCTATGGGTTGGCTCGAATACTGCAATTCGACGGCCGACAGCCATTACGCGAACCTCCGGCGACAGAACGGCCGCGAAGAGCCCTACAACGTCAAGTACTGGGCGCTGGGCAACGAATGCTGGGGTCCGTGGCAGGTCGAGCAGATGACCAAGGAGGACTATGCCAAGAAGGCATGGCAGTGGGCCAAGGCGCTCAAGCTCCTCGACCCGAATGTGCAATTGATTCTCTGCGGCATGGAGGGCCCGACATCTTGGGACGCCTACGTTACCAAGGAGTGTATCAACTACACAATGCATGCGCTCGGCGACAACTCAGCCTCATGCCTCATTGACATGCACAGCATTCACATCTACACAGCGTCTCCTGAGCACCTCAAGAATGCTACGGCGCCGCGGTCTGCCGAGCGTGCCATTGAGATCACGGCCAGCCTCATTGATCTTGCACGAATCGAGAACAAGATCCCCAACAACATTCCTCGTCAGAAGATTTGCTTTGATGAGTGGAACGTCTGGGATCCCGTGAGAGCGCCGGGCTGGCTTGGCGCTGAGGAGAAATACACCTTGTCAGACGCCCTCGCTGTGGCTGTCTGGCTCAACGTCTTCATCCGCCAGGCCAAGTACATCGGCATGGCAACCATTGCGCAGTCTGTCAACGTCATCTCTCCTCTTATGACGACCAAAAATGGCCTCCTCAAGCAGCCGACGTGGTGGCCCCTGCTGCTTTTCAGCAAACATATGCGCGGCCAGACAATCGGCGTCAACGTCCAGTGCGGCGAGTATGAGGGTCAGACAAAGCCCGAATGGATTCGTGGCACCATTGAGACACCGTGGCTCGACGTCAGCGCGTCCATCAACGACGAGGGCATCGTATCGCTTGTCGTTGTCAATATCCACGAGACTAAGAGCTTTGCGACCAAGCTCGAGGGCGTCTCCGGCAAGATTGATGTCTTCACGGTGGCGGGCCCGAGCATTGACGCCGTCAACACGGAGGAGAAGGAAGAAGTCGGCATTGCCGAAAGTTCCTGGGATGGACAGGGCCTATATGAGTTCCCGCAGGCGTCCATGACCATGCTGCGGTGGAAGCCATAAGCGAATGGCGTGCTTGTAGTGCAGATGGATGATACCACAGCGTGAGGGGGAGCCAGGCGAAGAATAAATCATTATAATTGTAAAGTGTTTCATCGTGAGTGATCCGAGTTCTATCCTGGTTTCGATTCTACGGGCCTTCCTGGTCTTCGGAAAGGGTGCGCCTCGGTATTGAAGACGTAGTCGTCGAGGCTAATGAGGTCCTCTGGTGAGAACAGTAGGTAAAAGTATTTTAATGTTTCGGCCGTCCAAAAGCTCTGCGATAGAATCAGCATCAAAGAAAAAGAGATGAACAGTCATAGTACTCCTACCTCCATTGAGTCCAGCTTCTGGGTGTCGCCGTTCACCATCACGTCAGCAATGGCTGAGTAGGCGAACTCGGTTTTCGTGGCCTTGTCGATAGCCACGAACATTTGTTGCCCTAGACGCCTCCACTCGGCATCGCCTGTCATGCGGTACAGCAAAAAGACACTTTCAATGGCCTCTGGTCGCAGGATATACCGCGGATCGCGGGCATGGGTGAAGCCTTTTGGCAAACCAGGCGCGGGCTGGTCGTCTCGGAGGTTATCGCGCCACTTCGCTTCGTCCCATTGACATCCCTCAAGCGACTTACAGGGAACGACGCCAAAAATCTCGGGCATGATGCCCGTGGGGAACGCGGAATAGCCCCAAGCACATCCTCTGGCGAGACGCTTGCCTATGGACACGTGCTCAGGGATGCCAAACAGCTTGCCACCGAGCGCAAACATGCCACCAACAAAGCACGTCAGGTGCTGCGTTTCGGGGTTGCGTCGCACCTTGCCAGGTTCGTCCACAAAAGCGGTGCCCACGAACAAGATGTCAGCTCCGTCTGGAACCATGGGCCTTATGAGAAGGTATGATTCGACAACGTCCATGGCGTCGCGGTACATCTTCTCGTAGGACGCGTCGAGACCCCCTAGCAGAGCATACATCTTAGGGAGGTACTCATACAGAGAGTCGGCCAGAGCTCCCAGAGTAAATTCGTTGTACACATCGACCGTCTCTTCGCGAAAGTTGATCAGCGCCGGCCACATGCCCGGTAGGCGGCTCGAATGCTGGGTGCGACCCAGGAAGAGCTTGACGCGCTCGATGGCATCAAAGTATTTTGTGTCGCCTGTAAGCTGAGAGAGGCGAGTGAATTCGAGGGACAGCGAGCAGGGAGAAGCTGAGGGGTCCGAAGTGCCGGCGATGAGACGGCCGTGCTTGGCTAATTCAAAATCGAGCCAGAAAGGTGGCAGGCGGTTTGGAGTATCAAAGGAGGCGTAGAGCATGTCACCAAGCTCGACAGCCTTAAAAAGGAGACGCGCGTCGTTGGACAGGTCGTAGGCGCTCAGCATGCCGCCAAGGTGTCTGATGGTCGTCTCAAACACGTTGGCAGCGGTTTCGGTCGTGTTGGCCCAGTCGAGGCGGGCAACGACGGCGACGGCCTGGTCAAACTCAGTCTCGAGACCCATGATCCAGAGAGTGTCTAGAGAGTCGACGAGGGTAGCAGCCCATCCGCCAAAGGTGTTTCGCCCGGCAGCCGAGACGGGAACCAGCTCGTCAAACTGCCAGGCGTACTTCTTGTAGCTCGCCCAGCATTTCTGAAAGGCCTTCCTCACTTGTTCAGCTAGGGCATCGGCGGCAAGGTGGGCTTCGTCGGCAATATCGGAGGTTCGTGCAAAGTCGTGCTGCACGCGAGGCAGGTTCTTCGGTTGGCCGGCCGGCAGAGGGTGCATGGAAGAGGGTGCCACGGCGTGGGTGTGGACGTGCTGGCTCCAGTCGAAGCTACTCCTGACGACATAGGAACCAGAGCGCAGGATGAAGAAGATGGTCAGGGCGAGGAGGAGAAAGGCGGCGATGGCCATAAGGCGCCTCGACCGGCGACGGGACCTGTAGGAAACCGCCATGAGGAGGGAGGAGGTGGTCGGACGGATGGCATTCTGGGGGACCTGGAAATTGGGAGGACGGGGGTTTCCTCGATCAACAGGACCCGACCGACGCGTGGAGGTTTGCATGGGCAGTGGCAGGCGCAGGCGCTGGCACTGGCACACGCGCTCGAAGCTCAGCCTACCCGTCTTGGTTGGCAGCTATTAGGGGGTGCTTGGTTAGTGAGCTCTCCCAGTCCACAGTGGCACGTGGGGGCCGCTTCGACGCCAGACGCCACGCAGCCTTGTTCAGCCACACGCACAGCAAATATTGGGCAAGTCGGTGTAGAGAGGGGAGGGCGGGCAGACACTGGCTCATAACATCAGAACACCAAAAGGATCATCAAGAAGCAGTTCTAGATCAATATACCGTCCACACAAATCAACAAACCAGCGCCAGACTGAGTCGCGTAGATGCAATACATACTGGCCTTTTCACTGCATCGACTGCCCACTGGGAGTCTAGCTCGAGGCTCCCTGGCCTGGTGCTAAACCTTTGACCGGCATCGCCTTCAACAAATCACCCGCAGACTTTTTTCAGCGGGGTGTTCACCAATCGCCAAGCGACCACCCCAAGAACACCACCGCCCGCCACTGGGTCTGGAAGTCCAACCAATAGTGCACTGGTGATGACCCGGCGCCCCTCCGGATCGCCTTAGCGTTGCCAGGGTCCAGACCCGCCGGATCGTCCCGGTGGTCAGGGTGACTCGAACTCGCGATGAGTCTTTGCGATAAGAAATCTTCATCGCCGCCCGCTTACTGACGGGGTACTTGTAACTGCGCATATAGCTGCGAGCCACGAGCCTCTTGAGTCCTCCCAAGCTTATCTCGTTCTTTGAACACTACCCTTTATGATTACAGCCATGGACGTCGAGACAGCAAAGCAGCAGGCGCCTGCCGTCGCCTCGCCACTCGAGGATAAGCCGACTCACGATGCGCCGGAAGCCGGCCGTGGTACCCTCAAGACGTTGTTCCGCAAGGCTCTTGTCTCTGGTCGTGTAGAGGAGCGCGGTGTCGAGCCCATCGCCCTCGAGGAGCGCAACTCGACGCGCTACTTCAACTGCTTTACCATCTGGTTTTCCATCAACTTTAACATTCTGCCGTACGCCCCTTCTCAACCTCACTTCCACTCCTCACGCCCCGCAATGACTGACACCCTACACAGTATCACTTTTGGTCTCATTGGCCCCAAGTACAATGGTCTCAGCTTCCGTGACTCTGTTCTCATCATCGTCTTCGTTATCCTCTTCGTCACTTTGGCCCCCGCCTACATGGCAACTCTGGGTCCCAAAACTGGCATGCGACAGATGATCCAAGCTCGATTCAGCTTCGGCCCTTACCTTGTCGCCATCCCCGTCATCCTGAACCTGGCCACGCTCACCGGCTTCTGCATCATCATGTTTGTCGTGGGCGGTCAGTGCATCTCGGCCGTCACTGACGGCGCGCTAACACCGACCCTCGGTATCGTGCTGATATCTCTTCTCGCTCTGACCATCTCCTTCTGCGGCTACAAAATTCTGCATTTTTATGAGACTTATGCCTTCATCCCGGCACTGATCGCTATTGTCATCGCCACTGGTACCGGCGGCTCCAAGCTGCATGAGCGTGTCGAGGTCCCGACGGCCACGGCCCCACAGGTCCTAAACTATTGCATGATCATCGCCTCGTACATGATCCCCTGGGCCTGCATAGCCTCTGATCTGACGACCTACTTCAGCCCCTCAGCCCGCGGAGCGTCTTTCCGCGTCTTCGCATACAGTTACCTCGGTCTCATTCTACCAGCCATTCTCCTCATGACCCTCGGTGCCGCTATCGGGAGTGCCATTCCCAATGTGCCGGCGTGGAGCGCCGCCTATGACGAGACTCTTGTCGGCGGTGTCTTGGCCGCCATGCTCGAGCCCGCTGGCGGCTTTGGCAAGTTTGTCGTCGTTATCCTAGCCTTCACTTTGCTCGGCAATGTTGCTGGCACAATGTACGCGGTCACCCTCAACTTCCAGACAGTCGCACCCGTCTTCTCGCGCGTTCCGCGATACATCTACGCCATTGTTGTTACGGCCATCATGATCCCCGTCGCCATCAAGGCCGCTGACGACTTTTTCCTGAGCCTCGAAAATTTTGTGGCTGTCATCGCCTACTGGTCTGCCGCCTTCATCGGCATCGTCCTGGTAGAACACTTTGTCTTCCGCAAGGCCAATTACAAGGCATACAACCATGACGAGTGGAACGATGCATCGAGGCTGCCGAGCGGACTCGCTGCCATTGGAGCAGGGTTTCTGAGCTTTGGCCTCATCATCCCCTGCATGGACCAGGCATGGTACACTGGGCCGATTGCAAAGACGACGGGCGACTTGGGCTTCGAGGTGGCCTTTGTGCTAAGCTCTTTGCTCTATCTCCCGCTGCGATATGCTGAGAAGCGTGTGCTGCAGAGGTAGGGGCAGTAGTTTGGGGCAGCCGAGCATCAACTGCTCACCAGGTGGTAAAATTAAATACTCGTAGATAAAGCTTAATGCATCACGATCGACACGCTTTTGTGAAATCAAGAGGGACAGCCCAAAATATCGTGGGGAGAAGCTGCCGCAATCCATACGGAAAGCCGCCAAGCTGGGTTTCACCTCCAATCCCATAGGAATCTTTCACATTGCTTCGCCTTCTTAACAAACACACCCTCTCACCTACACAACTATCCGCGTCAGCTTCAACCTGAAGCAGCCCATCTCAGGCCGACTAGGACTCATCTGTAAGCTCTAAGATCAACTCGTCACTCTCACAGCCGAGAATGGTCGGGCCGGCGCTGGCCAAGTACTAGTTCTCGCCAAAGTCATCAATCTCTTACGGTGCTTACAATGATGAACATCAGACGTCGTTTCAGAGAGAAAGCTAAACGAACTCATGGACACCAGTGGGGCTCCACCCAACGTGTGCGGCAGGCCCCCATTCGTGAAGGGACTCGTTCGGCCGTGCTGAGTTTGTTTCGTCTCATCTACATCCTCAGCATTTTGCTCGCGATGCATCACGGAAGGAGAACCTCGTGTTGATCCTGGCTTTAGCCGATCTCCAGCATGGTGCCTTTCCCGTCTAGATCATAAAGGTTCTCCTAAGCTCCCAGGATGTTGGCTGGCCTCGTCCGAAGAAGCGGGCATCGTTCTGCCAATCTTTCACTTCGTCCACTCTCTTCGCCGATTATTGCTTTGAACAAACCTGCACATCATGATCGTCGGCCAGTCTCATTTCAAGAGCCTGGCTTTCCGGGTGACAGTCACACTCGTCAACTACATCGGGCTTGTGACTGCCAACGTCATCATCCTTATCGTCTTCCTCGGCGGCCTGCATGGTCTGTTTAGCCCACTCGCCATTATCCTTCTGTTCATAGCCATTCCGGAGGTCAGCTTCTACCTTGTTTGGTTCCTCCCATACCGCTCCCGCCTGCAAGGCCACGGTCCGAAGCCGATGCCCCTCTCAAGAGGCCTTCGCATGTCCATTTTCAAGCGTGGTCTGGACCACGTTCCAGATGTTGAGCAATACATCCGCAAGTGGCATTCAAATGCTCATAACGACGACATTCGCCAGGACAATTACAAGGAATGGCTACTTTGGGCACTTTTTGACCGTGACGGGGATCTAGGTGACGATAGCGCGGAACTAGATGAGTACATTCAGTACGTGGAGGAGAAGGGCGAGCTCAAAATTAAAAAGGGTCAGGGAGATGCAGTTCCAATACGCCTAACGTTTGATACCGTCGAGATGACGCACCGCAGCCTGACGTTTTACACAGTAAGTTATCTGCACTTTGTATTTGTATTCTGGGGGACATCAGGCTGACCAGCCAGCTTGTTGGGCTTGCCGACGCCATCACAACAGTCATGTTTCTCGCCAAAGGCTTCGAATTCTACCGCCAGCCGCGGTCGACCTTTTTCACGACGTTTCCCTTTCGATTCAAGACACTTCTGTCCCCTCACGCCTCGCCATGCGCTCAACTCTCGTATTTCCACCGCCCGCATACCTCATCGACGCATCGTCCTGTCATCTTCCTACATGGCGGTGGTATCGGCCTAGCTGCCTATAGTCAGTGGCTCACTTCCCTACCACGCGATGTCGGCGTCCTGGCCCTCGAGATTCTGCCCATTTCCAGCCGCATCAGTGGCCCCTTGCCAACAACGCACGAACTCCTCTCCGCCCTCGCAGCCATTCTCTACAAGCACGACGTGAAGGACGCCATACTCATAGGGCACTCTTTCGGCACGCTCCTGACGTCACCGATGCTGCAGAGGCCCGATATTGCAGGACGCATCGCCTCCATTATCCTCGCCGACCCCGTCTCGCTGCTCCTGCACCTACCCGACGTGTCCTACAACCTCACGCGCCGCGCGCCACGACCGGGTCGACCGAACGATTGGCAGACCCGTTTCTGGGCGAGCGATCCCGGCATGGCACATACGCTGGCGCGACGGCTATGCTGGCATGACTTTGTGCTGTGGACAGAACAGCTCCAGGGGCGACGGACGACGGTCGTTCTAGGGGGCGACGATAGCGTCGTGAACGCGGACGCTGTGGCGAGTTATATATACTATGGCGATGTCAAGTATTCGCGTCAGGACAGGCGCGAATGGAGGACGACGCCGGAGCGATGGACGGGCCAGGAGGAATTGGCGCTGCTGTATCTCGAGGGGAAGGATCATGGACATGCATTCCTCAGCGCGGAGGGCATGAAGAGCATGACACGTGTAGTCGAGGCTTATGGGGCCCTGAACCAGACATGGGGGACGCGGGCGGTGGACATGGCCAAGTTAGAAGAGGGGTTGGAGAGTCCACCGATGGTGCCGCCCAAGAGCAAACCCGTGGACTCCATACGGGAGATGAGGATCTTAGAGGCCTCGGCCAAGACGGAACCGCTTTCGGGGAGGAAACGATGGCTCTAAGTGCATGGCGACCGATGACTTGATGATAATACATGTTCTTTCTTACACAAGAGTCACGGAAGATGTGAGGCGGCGCGTGCGCTCCTGAAAAGAAAGTCTTGGGCTGACCGTCGTAACTTCTACAGGCTACATACGCGCAAAGCAGACTTTTTTCATCGCCCAGGGGCATCCGTCAGGGGTACATACCTTACGCCGAACTTCTTCTCCTTGACCACCGTACCGTCCTCCTTCTTGTCAACCGTCCAAATATACTGGTTCCCACTACCATCCTCATCCGCAACGGGAATGAACAGCCTGAAAAAGAACATTAGCACAATCTCCGTCGTCTTGTCTAGGAACAGGGCACGCACCGTCCCGGAGACCGCAACTGGTCGACGAGCGTCTGATGCAACTCGACAGCCGCCGCACCCACATGAATAGCATCCCATCCGTCATTGCCGTCCTCCGTCCACCCAGCTCTTCCGTCGCCCGTGCAGAACTTGACCCTGCCGCTTCCGAGAAACCCTCTGCCCTCCTCGCTCTTGGTCATGTTGCCCTCACCCAGCTGCCGCAGCTCGTCGATATGCTCAACGCCCACAACTGTGCCGCTCTCGCCCACGAGCTCCGCGAGCAGATGTGTCAGGTAGCCCGAGCCAGAGCCAATGTCCAGCACCCGCGGCGCCGGCGTTCGTTGCGAGGGCACGACAAAGGGCAACAACGACTCGGCGGCCATGGCATGCATGTGCGGGGCGGAAATGGTGGCGCCGTGCCCGATGGACTGCGGATGGTCTGCGTAGGGCGACTTGGGAGCGTAGTGCGCGCGATCGACCTGAGGAAAGCGTCAGCAAGGGACGGGGAATGTGAGTGGTGGAGGAGAGGAGAGGCTCGCACCTTTAGAAAGGCATCTTTGACACGCTCGTCTTTGATGAGGCTGTTGCGCCAGAGGTTCTCGGCCAGGGCCTGATTTGTGTCGCCCGAGCTGCGCCAGGCCATGGCGAGTGCGCGAGCTAAAGATCGCGGGAGGGGAATTGTGCTTGATCAAGCTTTCGATGAGGTTCGATTCGAGTGAGGGTGCAGGGGACCGCACTGTAATGCCTGTGTTGTGGGATGAGTCTGCCCCGCAGTGTTGATGGTGAATTGAGGTTCAGCGTTTACCACCTTCAGTCATGTGCCCTGACGGCTGATGATGCAACTCATCCACCTAGTTGAGGGGCAAATCGCGAAAGCCAACAGTCCATTTCTGCTCTGCTATACACATCTCTACAACACGGAGAGGAAGATGAACAGGACATGAAATAATATCGTGGAGTCGGTCTCCGGCCAACATGTGCAGTGTCCCATTCATGTGATTGCGAATTATCTTATAATGCGATGTATAATAACCCTACCCGAAAACGCCCTGTACCCATCCCTCATACAACCCGCTCCGTGGACTCGCCGGTCGCAATAATCGGCACAGGCAGGCCTCTGTCCGGGCTCTGCATCACCAGCTGCTCGTGTCGCCGCGCGCGCAGGAACTCGGAGATGGAGCGGATCAGGATGAACCACCCAACAATCATCAAGATATACGAAATCCAGTCCGATCCGCTCATGTCGCCGATTCCGCCTGCCTCGCCTGCCACGGCATCCGGGTTGAAGTTGTGCGAGTTGGGGTCAGGAGGACTGGCGTATCCGTCTTCTCCATTCATCGGTGGCGCGTTATCGCCCTCAGTCGGGCCGCCGCGGAGGTAGAAGCCATACTGGATCATCTGGATGCCGAGGCCGGCAAGAGATCCATTCTTCGAAGCGTGTGACGAGTGAAGGAGATATGTAAGGAGGAAGCCAACGAGCTGGAAGAACATGGAGATCATGGCGTTCCACAGGAAGCTGAAGAGGGAACCGACTGGCATGCCATCGATGTAGACTTCGTCAGCGCCGCCGAGGCCAGGCGCGAGAATCGTCGTCTCCCAGTAGGGTGGTGCTGCGTCGAGTGCTGCTTGTTCATATGTCTGTCATGTGTTAGCACAAAGCGGTCGTGTGATCGTACGATGTTCAGACGTACCGGTGGCATTTCCTCCTTTTCCTCTGTCGCTCGCTCCGGCTTCGCCATGAGGTTGGAGAAGACACCGCCGTTGTCGGTGCCGGCACCGTACACACGGTAAGGTGTAGTCGAGGCACCTGATGGCTGGGATGGAGGGAACTGGGGTATCGATTGATCGGTAGGGCTCTCGGTCGGGGTATCGGGACGGGAGGCACCGCGCGAGTTGCCGCCGCGTACGAGACGTTGTCTGTCGTCGCCTTCGTCATCGCTGTCGTCGCCGTCGGTATCAAAGGCATCGGCAAGGGTCGGATCAACGCGGGGACGTTCTTGTGAGGATTGGCGTGAGTGGAAGGATGGCGGTGGTGAGTTGGGAGTCATGTTGGATCGTGTGCGGGAATCGTCCTCGTCTTGGGCATGAACCTGTATGGTGTCAGATGGCGAACAAGGGTCACATTCAAAGTCAATAACATACCCGCTCGTATCGGCCGGTCATGATGTCGATGGTGTGGGATTTTGTTTTTGGGTCAAGAGCAGGCTCCCTCTCCCCTTGTTCTCCACTACCGAACTCAAGGCAGAAGTGTCGATCGGCTGACGAAGTCGACGAGTCGGGTGAACGGACGCTGGCTGAAAGAAAGGAACGGTCGCAGGAATGCAGTATCGAAAGGCGCAAAGGAAACGGAAGTATCGTCGAGAGAGTGATGAAGGAAGGAAACTGGTCAAAGGGGCGACTGTGTATCTTGGGGTTCTAGGACGAAACGGTTGGCGTGGACAGCCCGGAACTGCGGTCGGGGAGTTCGATTGGGGAAGGGGGGCGGTAGGTGGCAGGCGGTAGCGGCAAGGCGGCGGCGACACGACAGGCGGCCATGCATGATCATCAGACAGAGAGGCCTCTCCCGCCAAGGCCATGGCGCCCCAGCCAGAATGGGGCCAGCTTAGTCAATGCCAAGCCCCGAATCCGAGCGGATCGAGAACGAGCCCCGCCACGACTGGATGCATCCTACCATGTAAAGCTTTGCTGCTTTAACCGCGAGTTGGCCTCGAAGAGGACAGCGGAGCTTATCTATAGTAAGCCTGATCCAAGGGCGGCGAGGACACTAACTCCATTGACTTGTTGCCTTCGCCATGGGTCGTCTTGGTCCGAAAGTGCTGGAATGCACCGCCATGAACCAACTGGTGGGCACATTCATGCGCAACAAAGGGTGACGAATCAGGGGCTACCACTAGCACTAAGCATGGGCAGCCAATCAGAGGCCTATGAACAGGTGCTTGTCAAGACCCTGTCGGAGAGCGCGCGCCGTGCTGGAAAAAAGTCCTGACGTCTGCGATTGCGATAGTGAGCCTCCGTGCCTCCGACTCAAGTGCTATTATCTCGGGATCCTCCCTCCCCCGCCCATCCCAGCCCGCCAAACGATGCCGTGAGGGTCCATCTTGCACATCAATCTCGACACAATGGCACGTCCCGCAAGCGTATGTCCGCCGTCCCTGCGCCGACCCTGCCAGATCGCGACATCTGCTGACGATCCCCCAGCAAGCCCTCAAGCACTACCAGCGCGCTCTGGCCACATGGCCCAAGGACGAGCTGCGGCCCCAGGTCCAATTCGCCGAGTTTCTCAAGCGCGGCGTCGAGAAGCGCCTCGCTGCTGGTGCCGTGACACCCGCTGCTGAGCAAAAGGAGCTCGCACAGGTGAACGCCCTCTACAGCCTGGCTGAGGACCGCTACGCGAAGAGGGTATGTTCCCCTAATTCACATCTGGTGTTTGCGCAACGATGGCTGACGACGCACAGTTTCCCCTCGGACCGAAGATTTCCAAGCCCCAGAGTCAGCCGACATACTTCAAAGACCTGCTGCGTGAGCTCGAGGAGGCACCGAGCAGGACGTGGCTGCAGAGCATGTCCAAGAGGTTATCGGGTATGTTCCGATGGGAATAGAGATATTGTGATACCACGAAGAGGTCTGTCATGCAAACGGGCAAGCGGCACGAAGTAAACATTGACCGGAAGGTCACCAGAACAAGCGGCATGTACAACAGGAATGTACAACACGTGTATGATCATATATAAATTCTATGTCCCACAAAGACGCCAATTTTCTCTCTGTTCCCTGAAATCCCGCCATGAATTTCGACGTCGCTACAGGTATCGCCCGTCGGGGTCCATCTTGTCCATGAAATCGATACTCTTCTCATACATGGTGAAGACGAGTCCCCCACTGACCACCAGTCGAGCGAGACGGGGCAGCGCGCCGCTCCAGAAGGTCAGGACGCCCTCGTGCTTAAAGATGAGTGCCGCACACCGGAAGCTGTTTCCGTACTGTGACCTCGCCTCAATGCTCTGCATGCGCGTCTTGATGGTATCGAGTGGCTGTGTCACGTATACTGTGATCAAACCCGCCAGGCCGCCCATAGCAAACGTGCCCGCAGCACCGAGCTTCTCGCCGGGGGCCGTGTAGCCTTCGGCCATTTGTTTCAGCATGTTGTAGGCGCCAAATCGAGTCGCACTGTTGGCCGCCTGCCGAGCTGTCGTCGGCACGAAGCCCTGGAAGAAGCCGCGGATGCCACGCTCGCGTGCGATGATGGGTACTGCGTGGAGGAAGCCACGCATGCGAGGCTTGGGTGACTTGCGGTCGTCGATCCTGAAAGGTCAGCCGTCGGGTTTTGCATGATTGGTTATCAGAGCGACATACAGTGTCGTCTTGATGCTCTCAAAGGGCGTCACGGCCAGCGCCGATTCGGTCACACCTGCGCCAAAGCCAGCAATTACCGTCTTAGGCCCCGAGATGTTGCCGTCAGCGTCTGCCAAGAGCGTCTTGTACTGGTCGAAAGCGACGAATCCTGGATATTTGTTTTTAGCCATGTGCTCCGCCTCTCTGGATCCATGGCCACCCACGGATGCCCGCCTTGAGCGAGTTGCCTATGATGAGCGTTGTGCAGCCGGCGTACCACTGTGCGCCGAAGGGGGGCCACGGTAGCTTCTTTCCATCTGTCAGTTGTCGGTTGAGCTGCGAGCGCGTCTTCGCGACTGTGAATTGTCAGGGTCATCTTCACCACGACGTCAATTGGAGACCATACATTCGGCCGGGTAGGTTATGGCTGGGCGGGTTAGCTTAATGTCTTCTCTGAACGTGCACAATGCGTCATACCAATCTCGAGGGCGCCCGCCGTCGAACCAGCGATGATGGAGCGCAGGACGCTGGGCCGCTTCTTCGCGGGCTGCTGCGACTCGGTGGTGGGCGTCGCGGTGGCCATGACGAGGATTGGCTGTCGTCGCGCGTGGGCTGGCGTTTGGTGTGGTGTTTGTCGTGGGAATGAAGCACGACAAAATCGACGTCACGTCAGTGTCCATCATTTGCATGCGCTCGCAGCTACCATTTCGGTGGATGCCGGCCTTCGGAGCAGGCACTGGTGGGGCCGACCACGGCACCAAGCCATATGATGCCGAGGTACGTACCGCCAGTGCTGGCCCTCAGCGCCAGCAACGACCAGCCTGTGCCTCTCATGGCATCTGATCATGTGCAGATTTATGGGCAGATAGAAAAGAATGCATGTCATTTTCTTTTCTTCAAAAATCCGGGCCTAGTATGTAACTTGTTGAGAAATGCGAAGCCGTGTGAATCGACACAGGGTCCGAGATCGGGCTTTCGAGTCTCATCCCTCAAACTGCCGCTTACGAGCCAAAAGTGATGTCGTGCAAGGCTATCATGCGGCTCTGAGGGCTACACGGTCTTAGGGACTATTGCCTTTGACGCTTGTTGGCTTTGGGCCGTGACCATGGCGTCAAATATTCGCATCGTGAAACGCGGGGCAGCAACCCGCCGCCCGAGTGGCGTCCCGCCATCTGGACAGGCATTCTATCCCCGGTCAATTTTTCACAGTCTTGCCATCTCCTGAGGCTTTTCCTTTCGTCAATGTATCCCACGCGGTTCCAGTCATCTGAATGATAACTTTGATGCGATGTCTCTCTGCCTCTCCGTTCACATAACCAGGCTTTGCGGTTCGCGACTGCTGCTTGACGGGCGATGCCAACAGGCCCCCATGCGTGATGCAGGAAAGGTACTCATTCGCTCCTGGGCTGTGCTCTTCGATACATCGAGGACCAAAGATGTAAAAGTCTGGTTGCTGAAGACAATGTGCCGGTTGTGTGCCGCAGCTCGGAGACCTCTTGCCCCAAATGCCCATTGGAGAAAATAGCTATACACCACAGGTTGTCAAAGGGCATGCGATTCATGACGCGCGATCTGACCACTGATAACAGGAGAAGGCTGATGAACGCTGTGCAAGACGACTTGAAGGAACAAAGACTCCAGCCAGTTTCAGGACACCCTGAGGCCATCGCTTAGGCGACGGCTATCGATCGTAAATCATGTAAGGCATCAAGATATCTAGGTATCGGTGCGATAAAATGATATTCATACCTGGAGAAGGGTTTATAAGTGCTGTCAGCACCTTTTGATGTTCTATTCAATCTCCAAGTCGTTCTTCTATGCTCGGCTTTGACCATGGCTTGTCTGCCGCCACAGGGCAAGATATCAGATCTCAACATTGAGCGCCGTACTCAATGATCGCAAACACGCCTTCAGGAAATTCTGTGCCGCCTCCTCAGTCTGCCAAGCGTCATTGTACGCCGCCGCAAGATTCAACTGCCCTTGGTGAGATGTAAGGAAGAGCCCAAGTCCGTTGCGCATCTCTTCTCCGGTGATCCACGGCCTGCTCACGCGAAACGCACCAATTCTGGACGGCAGGATACCGTCTACACGGCCTAAACTCGATAGAGTCACGCCTGGCGTTGAAGACGGTTGTGGTCCAGGTGCAGGGTTCTTCTTAATCTTCGGGAGAGTCTGCAGCCAGCCGGTCCAAACAGTGGGCGCAAGTAGGCCATGTTCAGTGTCGTCAGCTACCCGACGATACAGGGCGCTGATCTCCTGTAGAACGTGTTCGAAATCATCTTTGGAGGACTTCTCGTCTGTCTTCGGAGGGATCACCAGGTCGCAAGCGAAACACGAGCCCGAATGGTAGGCCGTGACGGGGTGCTTGTTCGAATTGTAGGGCGCGGCGCAGAATGGCCTCAGATTGCGCAACAGGTCCCAGCGAAAGTAGAAGGTCTCATTCTTTGCGCCTTCAGGGACAAGATCTCGCAGAACGATAGGAATCACGGCGTTCACGGCGTGGGTGACGGTTGCACCAAGTTTTTTGCAGGCCACGAGGATGCTTGCTGACGTTTGAGAATCCAAGGTGATGTCAGTTCGCTGATGCCGGCCAGGTGACTGAGCGCCATGTACAAAGGGCGGTGAAAGATAATGCTTCGATTCGGGCGCACGCGTCGTGGAGAAAGCGACATGTTCTGCGGTCATCTGGGCGACTCTTTTCTGTAGAGCTGGTGTGAATTGTTGAGGAACTCCGGCCGCCGCGCGGTACGAAGGACTCAAATTCTGGGTCTCAGTACCATTGAAGTCGGGGATCCCATATGTGACGTCCTGCTCAAAGATGCGAGACGCATGTTCCAAAAGATTCTTCAGTAGCAACAGCGCCCCGACGCCATCAATGGTGTCGTGAGGAGCACGAAAGACAATATCGCGACAGTCCGATGAATCGTCATGTGAAGACGGTCTGATAACGAAAAGGGTCGGCAGGCTAGGCGCTGGCGGATCAGAGTTGGCAAATTCGACACCACTTTGGCCGGTTGCGATTTCGATAAAAGTTGACGATAGCCACGCCTCCCTTTCAGCATCATTCTGAAGAGTGCGATACTCCCGCGTGAACCGCTCCGTAGCAAAATCGTAATTTACTTCGGAAGCGACCGATGGATGGTCATGGCGTATACGACACCAGGCTTCTCTTAAAGAGCTGCTTAGATCCTTGTGCAAGCTTGAAGGCACCTGGTTGATTTGCAGCGAGGCGTGTCCAGTTATGGCAAACGGTCTCCTTCCCTGTGTGTCGTGAGCCCTGGCCGCCTGGGCCCAAAAAGTCTCGACCTCATCGATATCTCGGTGCCAGATTCCAGGCGCAACTTCGGCCCAGGCCAGCGATCTCTGGATGGTGGACATGGTCTGAAAGAGCAACGGAAAATTTCGGCATAAGAGGAATTCTATGAACTCTTTCGAGATCTCTGAGGTTGTAGACACGGTGGCTCTCTTTAAACCAGCTGGCCATACTAGATCATCCAGCCCGTTGGGTTGCGGAATATCTCAACTTGCTGAGGCCTAATTCTTAAGTCCGGATGAGTCGTGAACTTTCTTGCTCGATCCCCATTCAAGAATGCCCGCCAGGGGTCTGGTAGATCTGAATGCGGTAAAGTCATTGTATTAGCGTTGTTCCAATCCCGCTGCTTTGCCAGATGTGGATGGGCATAGCCAATGGCATTTCATTAGTAGGTAGTGCTGTTGGTGCAGGGGAACATGGCCCGCGTTCCGATCAGGAGGACACCGGAGTTAACGATTTTCGACAGGCGGCTGTGGCACCGTGTTTCAAGCATATCCCTCTTGAGGCCACGACCAACTTGAAAAGAAAAGAACGGAGGCAACGAAACACCTAGGCGAGCATAGGGCTCTACGTTGGGAGTTCGAAGCACGAGTGGACAGCTGACGAGGCATAATCCGGGCAGTGCAGGCCGCGAAATGTAACCCGAATACGCGGCCATTGTACATATAACTTCCATTGTCTTTTGGTCGGAGACAAAGGCCGGGTCGGCCTTCTACCTAACGGTCCTCAACCGCCCCCCGTTTCGGTCATCGAGAGCCGGGCGGAAAGATGGTGTCCCACCTACCTCATGGCCAACCGGCGAAGCAGCCGTCACCTGCATGAAGCTTGGGCTCATTTTCTGGTCACGAGGCAGGTTTGGTCCAGGTAGGCGAAAGCGCGCCAGTTCGCGGGGGTGTAGACGACTGCACTTGCGTCACGTTCAGGCCGGTAGATAAATGAAATGGCATCAGCCAGCCGAAGCAACTCTGCGTGCTGAAAGTCTGGCTGTAAGTGCCGAAAGCTTCTTCGAGTCACAGCCCACTGGCAGGCTGCCCAGCCCAGCGTACATCCCCAAGACTCGCGAAATTGGGTTTCTCCCCCCGTGAGAAATTACTGTTCCGTGCGCGGCTGACGACTCAGGCACTCTGGCTCGGGGCCGGGGTCGATCCTCGGCATGACCGCGCCGCAAGGTCTGTATAACCAGACGGAAAGTCGGCCTCAGGTCGGCAAGCCCGGAGACCCGTTCGTTCCTGTTGGTCGTGTCCGAGGTAGCTTGTGACGTGTGGCATCCGGGAATCACGGACAGTTTTCAAGGCCCTCCTTCCATTACTGTGCCGGCAACGTGACGGATTCCGTATTGCGCTCCGTCACGTGGAAGGTGAAGGATGAAAGGAGAGTCACGCAGGGGCTGTGTCTGAACTTGGTCTCCGTTGGGTGAGGTCATAAGTCTTACATTGCGAGCCCACGAGCCACGTCGGACAAAGTTGATGCTTTGTCGACCTGGCGTGCGTTAGCTGGAAATAGAACCAGCTACGCATCAAGAGAGGAGATGAGTGGGTACATTACGGCTGAGATGATGTACCAAAAATTGATGATGGACCCTTTCTAGTGAGGCGATGAACAAGCGACGAACCTACGACGATGAATGGCAAGGCGGAGAGGAGAGGAGCACCAAGCTGCCATTCTAGGGCTGAGGCTGCTAGGTACCGACCAGAAACATCAAAATGGTACTGTAGCACTGCACTATTGACGTGTGGCTTGAGGGCGTCACCCGCGGCGAGTGCGATGACGTGGCACAGTGCAGTGCAGGCGGATGCGCACAGGACACCCGCTGGCTCGGCAAGGACGACCTAATTTCAGGGCCTTCAGCGCGCAAAGTCATGTCCTTCAGGGGCCGAAGGCTTGGTTCTCCAGAGGCTGCTCAGACCCCCAAATATCCTGCCCCCCAAAGCCCTGGGAACCCTGGCCTCGGTAGGGGCGAGGCGGGACACCGCATCAAAGACAACTCACGAATGGATCGGCCATCCCAGGACCTACCTTGTCTGGATGTTTGCCCAATACATCAGCATCACTGGGGTTGATCGACACGGTTATCTTTGTTTTCTCGGGAGGCGGCTTCAGGCCGTCGGACATTGATCAAATGGCCGCCTATCAAGCGAGGAGCCAGAGGAGGAGTCAGAAGGGGGGCCATGATGAGCACAGCCACAGTTTCCACGTCGCCCTTCTCAGATGCCCTGGATACCTGACCGCCAGATTAGGTAGGGAAAGGGGTCACTTAGGTAGCACCTGTTGCGCCTGCCCGCTCTGAGGCGCGCTAGGTAACGAACAACAGCTGAGCTGACGACGTCTTCGCCATCGTCCCAACCACCACGACCCATCACGGCGGCCGTCAACGAACAGCAGACCAAGAGGCCACTTGACGAGGGATTGAAATCCAGCCGACACTCCAGACTTCAGACGACGTACACCACCATAAGCCATACACATGCACCTGACACTCGAACCTTGACGATCCCCTCTTCGACACGTCTTGACTCGCCAGGGCGCCCGCACCCCTCGTCCAACCCCTCCACCCCAGCGACACCAAGACTTTATTGCCCATCATCTATTGCTTTACTGCCCCGCCCTGACATTGTTGTTTCGTCTTCCCCGAAATAACGGCCGCGACACACCCAACGAACCTTAATGCAAGGCTGGCGTCTCCGATCGGCAGCGCATGTTCACTTCTCTGACCTCACTGTTGTATCCCTTCGTTCTCCGTATCGTCCCAGTTTATCCCCTAGTCCCCTCGTTCATAAGTTGCGACCACCCGCCGCTCTGTCATCCTTCCACTTGGTGCCTAACGACCTTTGACCGTTGCATCTCCAATTCAATCTCTCTCTCATCTTATTTCGATCTCTGGCCTCTCCGATCTGATCCTGCCGAAAGACCCCCCACGCGTCGCCTCTGTCACACTCACGCACTGCCAAGTCCGATCTACACGGCAGTCGCCATCGCCTGGGTCCGCAGTTTTCGTAGTTGCCAGTGCAACCTCCCAAGGCTCAACGCCGACGGAAGCTAAAGCCTCAGGGTCCTTTCCCTGCATCTCACCTCAACACGCCAACGGAACATCAACGGAAATCTTTCTCTCTGGCCGCCACACGACAAACATGGCCGTCGAGGCTCGCTCCCTCGCCTCACTCAATTTCCTCGCCGCCAATCCTCCTCAGTATCCCGTCAACCCAACCGAGGAGAAACAGGACCCTCTCACCCTATACATCTCCCGTGTGCCGGGCACCCGAGGTGAGCCAGCGTCGTCAGCACGCCGCCACCAACCAGCGGTTCACGTCTCAGACTAATGCTTTCCCTCAGACGTCATTCTCTCCACTTCAAAACCTCAAGTCAAGAATGTCACGTCGCATGATGTCGCCAATTCGCTCTACTACATTCACCTCGAGCTCCCTGGTGAGGCGCCGACGCGGAGCATCGACACCCCAAGGTCGAGCATTGAGAGTGGTCGCAGCGCCAATCAGATCAAGAGGAAGCCTCTCCCAGCCGGCGCTCAAATAGCCCCCGCTCGCGACCAATCCCCGGCGGCCGACAGGTCGCCCGTCAGAGACAGCGGCGTAGCTGTCGCCGATTTCCAAGCCAAGCAGCAACGGGCGACAGATGAGATCGACACGCGCAGATGGACAGGCGATGGCAGGACATACTACAGTGTAGAGGATCCATCAGGCGCGCGAGATGACGTGCGAGAAGCTCCATCGCCCGTGGATGGCCGTCATCCCCTCGATCGGGAATTACCACCTCTGCCAGAACGCCCAGCACCTAGGCCGCGCGAGCGAACGCGCTCACGGTCCCCTTCCCCTATCAAGTACCACAACACCACCGCCACCCCGTACACCCTCCATATCATCCGCCGCGATCCCAACACGGGCCACCAGTGGAACATCGGCCGCGTGTCCTCGTCTCAGCTCGAGACGTCCCTCGATGAGTCCTACTCTTACACCTCATACGACCCTGCCGGCTTGTCGACACAAGACCAACGACGCAAGGCCAATACCCCTCAGCCGGATATCAACATCACACTCGAGACTTCCGGCTACGCGAAGTTCCGCGGCATGCCAAGCCGTCAAAGCCCCGACGCCGTCGGCCGCAACTCCACCTCGCCACCACGCGCCGATGACCGCGAACCGGGCTTCAAACGCCTCGTCTTTATGACATACACCAAGTCGTGGACCGCCGGTATCCGCGAGAAATTGTCTGCCATGAACGACAAGGACGCCCAGCAGCAACAGCAACCCCGCCACACGCGCACTAAGAGTACCGTCTCAGCAACCTCGGCCACGTCGACAAACTCGGTCGACTCAGACTCAGCCCCCATCACACGACCTGGATTGGGTCTCAGGCCGAAGGGCTACATGTTTGAATCGCCGTGGGGCGGCCTCTGTCAGTTCCGCACTGGTAACGGGGGGCGCAGCGTCAAGCTGCGGCACGCCCTTTCTGGACGTTCGGGCGGCTACAACCCTCTTGTACCAGGGACGGCATCCGAGCAGATCGAGGCTGCCGCTGCGATGATCATGGGGGCTGCCGACGTGAGCGAGCTGCGGTTCAACCTGCCGGGCCGCGAGTTGTTCCATCAGGGCAAGGAAGAAGCCCTGGCGCGGAAGCAGGAGATTGCCGGACATCTCGGCAGGCTCATGCGCGGAACCGGGGCGAATGAGGATGATGATGCATTGGCATTGGGGCGGGAAAAGGCTGGCGGAGGCAACCGCGGGAAGAGAGCCAAGTTGGGCAAGCTGATCGTTAGCGGCGAGGGCATGAAGATGCTAGACCTCGTTGTGGCGGCCAATATTGGTGTTTGGTGGGGAGCCTGGGAAAAGACATTCTGATGTGGCGATGACTTTGATGGATATGAGTAACAGCATAGTGGTTTTGTACTGGCGCCAAGTTAGCCAACGTGGAGGAGCACATGATGTTATAGCGGGCGTTGAGACACATGTTCGGTATTGCATGCCGAGCTAGATAGTAAAGCGTAATGAATGTTGTAGCTCACGACTATCTTTATCTCACATGGTAACACGGTGAAGCTGACCATCCCTCATAT